TGCCCAGCTCCTCAATGCACGAGCAGCGCGCATGCCTATGTGCAAGAGTGCCGTCACCATCATGACAGATGAGGCACTCGGGAGACTCGACCCAACCCTGCGCATGCTGTCGTGCTTGCGGCCACTGACCACCTATGGCCACAGAACGCAGGTAGGCCCCCTCGGAGGCCGTGAGCAACCGCGAGAAACACAGCGAGCGCAAGGGTTCGATCCAGATGCCTTCCAGGAACTCTGGAGCCTCGAAGTGCTGGGAGATCTTCTGCATCTGCCACGACACGACAGCTCGCTCGACAAGGGCCTCGACGGACCTAGGGCAGAGCTCCAAGGGGTTGACAACCTGGCCATTCGGGAAGATCCACCCACGAAGATTACTACAATCAACGCCAACTCTATGCATCGACGCCCAGAGCGCGGAGAAGGGCCCCTTGATGGCTTGCCATGGAGAACTGTGGGGACCCAGCCTGGCAGCAGCAGCGGCAATACCTTTCTCCAGGGTGCGCTGCGGCATGAGGTCCCTCCAGAGGACGTGCATGAAGGCCTTGACGGGCTCCAAGGTGGCCCGATAAATGGGATCCATGCGAGGGGACGGCGTGAGCAGGAGTGCCATAGTGCGTGAACGCCCAGACGAACGAGAATCCAAAGCAGCAGCAGCAAGCGTGCGCAGCGTGTCAAGCTCAGTCATGCTCGTGCCCTGAACGCTCGTGCCAAACGTGACCGTGGTCTCGATAGCCGCGCGCGCCATGTGCTGCAACGTCTTCATCCTAGCACTAGCCCCCTGTAGATGCCTTAGCCTTTTCAACTTGGCCTTGGCCACGGGGATCCTGGCAGCCCGGGTCCGCCGACGGGTAGCGCGAGCTGCCGAAAAATCAACTCCAAGATTGCGTTCCGAATGCACTGCAAGTGCGCGTACACTGACCAATCGTCGCTGTAGCTCGGCTTGCAGCTCGGGCGAATTCGCTAGCACACGTGACTTGTCAAGCGCTATGATCATGTCGACTCTGTGCAGCTCAGCCTTCAGAAGCACACCTGCTGCCGCTAACTCATCAACAACACGTCGTGCTCCTCCACTCCTCTGAAGGCTAAGGTCGTCGACACAAACAGCAAGAGGAACCGTAGGATGCTCCCTCCGAACCTCATCGAGAGGACCTATGAGCATCAGCTGCAAAAGGCAAGTGGCATACAGGCAGCCTGGAAGGATGGTCTGCTCGACCGACAACTGCTCACTGCACAGTCCTTGCATCTCCAAAACACGAGGGGCACGATAGGCCTGAACCAAAAGCTGAAGTTGCCAAAGCGGAAACCCAGTTTTTTGTGCGGCTCGGATAAGATGCTCATGCCGAACGAGTTCGAAAGCCTTTTTGAGATCGACGAGCAGCGTAGCCGTATCCGAGCCCGTATCAGAATGATATTCAGCCCAAGCCGCTTGAAGCCAGACCGAGAGCTCAGCTGACTTGCCCCGAATAGCCCACCAGAAATATCTATAGTTAGCTTTCTGCCAAGCCTGCAGTATATCCCGACGGAGCCTAGCTTGAACCCGACACAGACAGTGCATAAGTCCAAGCGGCCTGACTCCACCAAGCCGCTTAAGGATGAACACGATGCGGGTGGTCATCGGCGGCCACTCGTTCTGGTGCTCTATCGCAGAGAGAAGCTGACATAACAACTCCAGGGCTTCATCAGGGAGTCTTAAAAGCTGACGCGGTGGCAACTGGTCAAAACCACTTCCCGTCCCCTCTGGGAACGTCTGGAGGACTTTTTTGAGGTGCTCCAGGGTGGGGGCAGGAGGGCGTTCCCCAAGGTTGAGGGGCCAGGAGAGGGGAGGATGCTTTTCCCCGATCTGCCACCATTTAGCCCATTCAGCCTGAAGGATATCGATCTCTTGCATCGAGTTGGCAGGAGCGTACTGGACCAGCGTGGACGACTGCCATGCATCAGGAAGCTTGATATACTTAAAGAGAGCAGCCGAACCGTTGACCGAGTGCTTTCTGACCCATTGCTCCCACCCGGCCGTCTTGTGCAACGCGGCCGCACGAGTCAGAGATAAAGCTTGATCATTAGCCATAGCAGACAGCACCTGGGCAAAAGAGTAGCACATATCACAGTGCTGCACGTAGTCCAGCATGACGCAGAACTGCGCCATGTAGCCAGACTGGACCAAGGGCGAGGCCTGCAACTTCCTAGCTGCTCGCACGATCTGCCGAGTCCTGCTTAGCGTACATGGGTGGGATATAGCCTGAAACAACTGCGATGCGTTTCGCCACCAAATTGCAGGCGGACTGACCCGAGGAAACGCAGGTGGTCCAGGACGTCCAGGAGAAACCCAGCGAAAACGTACGGGCCCACGGCGCCCACAAAAACCAGAGGCCAGATCGGGGTCGATTTGATAAACCTCAAGCAGCTCCAACTCGGCCGCCGTAATAAACAAGTCCCAAGACTCCGCAATCTTACCAGACTCAACGGCAGCACGAGCGCGGTCCCACCGATGCTCATCAGGCGCTTGACGGGGCCCAGCAGGAACAAGCACAGGAAACCTCTTGGGGACCTGGGCGACGCGAACCTTCACAGACTTACGAGGCGTACGAAGGCACATCCTGACAGGGTAGTGAGGTGCAACTGGAACAGAGTACACAACCTCAGCAGTGGCAAACGGCGCAAGCTCACGGCTGACAACAAAATAATCGATCACACGATCGGCTGGACGGCATGTTCCATCACTGGTGGAGATAATGACCCCGTCAATGGCTGAAACCCATCCGCTATAATCTAACACCTCAGGCTCCAGGTTGAAGTCCCCAGCCAGAATGAACGGCATCCCCAGGGTCCTCAAAACACCTCCTAGACGACACAATATGGCCCAGTTTTGCGTGGCTAGCCCGATGCTGTGATGAAGGTAGATGCTAGCAATCAGGACGCCTCCAGGAAGGATGCCTCCAAAGTGCAACAACCCCAGGCGCCCAGGCTCCAGAGTATCGGGGGTCCCAAAGACAGCCGATAAACCAATATGCTTGGGTGCCGAAAGAATGACTCCACCTGATGTGCCACCTCGTCCTGTGGCCACAGCAGGGAAGACTCGACCCCGTCGACCCTGACTCCGAAGTTGAGCTTCGAGTGGCTCAGCGTCGACAACATGAGATTCTTGAAGAGCCAGCACGTCAGCACTGGCAAGGGAGGAGGAGAGGAAAATGTCAAGCCCAGCACGCTCAGTGACGTTGCACGTCACAAAAGACCAGGCGCGCGGCTCAGAGGGCTCACTGCTACTCGCGCTGCTGCACCTTGGGCTTCTTGGCGCGCTCCAAGGCGTGCTGCAGGGCGGCTTCAACTGCACTGCGTGTGATGCCGTGGCTGCCAGCATCAGGGGCATCCTCTGCACTGAGGTCCACGGCCTCGCGCTGGCCAGCCTTGGCGACGAGGTCGTCGATCCACTCGCCGTCGAGGTCGGCAAAGCTGATGCCCTTGCCGTCCATGGCGTCGTCCTTGCTGTCGCTCGCCACGGCCGGGGGCTGACCAGGCTGACCATCAGCGCCAGGGCCAGCACCACTCTCAGCAGTTTGAGCTGCTTCGGCCGCCGCAGCCTCGGCAGCCTGCTTGGCTTGGCGCTCGACGGCCTGGTCCCGCTGCGTGATGAGCGTGTCGAAGTCGCTGAGCACGGAGGGGTTGACGCCGAGCTTCTGCAGCTGGTCACGGAGCGCAGCTGCGGGGTCATCAGCGTCACCGTTGGCCTGCTGCTGCCCCGAGAGCTTGGTGAAGGCCGTGGCCGCACGCTTGGCAGCCTCGCGCTCCTGCACCTGCAGGGCATTGAACTCGCACTGCAGCTTGTGGACGCGCTCGATCTGCAGCATGAGGTGGCCACGGGCCTTGTCCAAGGCCGTCTCGGCCTTCTGCACCTTCGCCTTGAGCGTGTCGTGCTCCATCTTGGCCTCTTTCGAGACAGCCATTGGGTCGCCACTGCGCACAGCACGACGTGCCAGCACCTTGGACCGAACAGCCACAGGAATAAGACCAGAGAGGGCATCAAACTGATCACTATCCATGACCAAGAACGCTTCGATCTGCTTATCATCGAGAGAGTCGGATGTGGAGGTGTGTGATGAGCCCCCCCCACCGCCAACGCCTCCCCCACGAAGCTTCGGCGGCCCATTAGCCCACGCGCCCCCAGGGGGCTTTGCTGCAACGACACCAGGGGCTGCTGGACGGGGGGCTCCACAACAGTAGCACG